GGCTCTTTTTCGATTTGTTCGAGACAAAAGCGTAGCGACGCTCGGCGTTGTTCGGCTAGCGTCATATCGTATGGTGTTGCGAGGCTCGTCTTCTGTTTATTCGGAATATGCGCCATATTAGGTAAAGTTAGGTGGATTTGGATTAGGTTATTTTGGGTTGGGCTACGGTAGATGAGCGACTCAGGGTAAGAAAAGCTTTGACAATTTACCACCTCGCGACCCTGGGCGGCGAGTTTCCTGCATGTTTCATCTCGAGATATTTGTCTACATTTTTGGAATTTTATATCGGCATCAAGGTTGTAGGCGTCGGAAAGATCGTTGTGGAGTTCTCGGCGTGGTTTCTCATGGTTCTTGAGGCTCTTCATAGCTTTATTTGAAATCCTGCTTTAGCTATTAGACGACAGGCCGTAGCTTCAGTTACCAACATCATTTCACATGGCGTCCCTAGGCATGTGTTTACATTCTTCGGGATCTTTTGTCGGCGTCGAGACGCTCGGCTTCGAAATTCCATTATCGTTTCGTATGATGTTCCAAAGTCCCTGTCTCCTTTTATTTCGGAATCCTACTTTGGCATCTTGGTAATAGGCGTCGCGACGCTTGGCGTCGGTCTGTCGTTTTGTGTGGCGTACACGAGGCTCTACTTCACTTTTTTTTCGGAAAAACTTGTCGGCGTCGGGACGTTATGCTTCATGTTAGTTTGTGCTGACCATCTGGTGTGTTAATACTTATTGCAAATACCCTGCCACTTGTCGAAAGATACTTATTGGTTGTCTTGCTGAAAGTCATTTTTCCGGCTTCGAAAAAAGAAAATAGCCTGGTAGGTTTTTAGGGTGGTAAACATAGATTAACACCGACGTCTGGTATGTGGTGTGTTGTATCTCGGTTACAGCGGTGGTAAGACTGTAATTCAGATCACTAGCCGCAGTGTACCTCTGCCAAGTTTGATTATCTGAGACAGATTTTACGTTGGTATAGTTCTTTGATTTCTGTCTGGCGGCAAACGTCTCGCGCCAGAAGTTTGTACTAGTAATTTTTAATAGTTTGTGGTATGCTAAGAAAGGATTGTTAGATTTTGTCTATTAGGAGTTGTGAAATGCAACAATTTTTCTATTAGAACATCATAAATAGTGGAAAATCTATTCCTGTTTTAAATACACCCGTTTTGTGCGCAATGTAGGCATTGCATGTCACGTTTGAGGTTAATTTTTTTGTACATTTATTGCTATATATATTAGATAAGTGCAATAAGGGAATTTCACGTAACATTGATCTTGATCAGTGTAATGCATAGTTCTGTTGTAAATAATACTGAGTAAGTAATTTCCCACAGACCATTTCAGCATGTGTATCCATATTAATGGAGAACTATCAGTCAGCATTGTAATAAACCTGATGTTCTTATGTTTATAAGTGAATAATAATATTTTATGGTGAAGGGACTAGTATTTATGTTGAACCATGCTATAGTTCAGGAAGTTAGTTGCCAGCTTCTTATTGTGGGAGTCCAGGTTAAGACCTGTGTCAGTCAGTGGAATTTGTGGTGGTCAAAGTGGCACTGGGACAGGTTTTCTCAAAGTTCTTTATTTTTCTCTTGTCGGTATTATTCAACGGCTACTCTGTATTCATTCATATATCATTTTTTTGTAAATATGCAAGTATATACTGATTTTACTAAACTATACATTTGACAACAAAGATAATTTCTAAATTATCTGTAGATTTTATGACATGTTGCTGCAAGTATTTTTCAACTTCATTTGATTGCACATTCTGCATTTTAGGTTACGTAAGAGTTCCAAAGATCTGAATTTCTGTCATCGGACTGTTTTTTTAGTACTAACTTTTCCTGTAACTGTGTAGTTCTTAAAATATCTTGAAATGTGGGATTTTAATAGTTCATAACTTTCTGGATTTTCAGAGGGGAATGAAGGACCTCACACATTACTTTCAGTTTCCAGCGAAGGAAGGGGAAGATAAAAATCAGAAAGAAGTAACAGGGACAACAACATTAAATGGGGACTGTGATGAAATTAAACCAAAGAAAATGTACAACAGACTGTCTGAGCATAATCGCGTAGTTGAAAATAATTCTCCATTGTCTTTATCAAGCTTAGAAATTAAAAGTTGCCCTTTGCCTGTTCATTCCAGTAGTAGAAGAATAACTAGATCTCAGCATGTAACAAATTCAGAAGTGACCAATTATGCGGATAGTACTGAGAGCGTTGAACTTGGTAGACATAGTACCATTTTTCAAAGAACATCCATCAGAACCTCAGGGAAAATTGTGTATAATGAAACAAGTTCACAGAAAACTGAAAATGTTGTGAAGCAAGAGGAAAAGAGAGTCAGCCAGTGTGATATTGCAAGTGAGTCCTTGCCTGTGAAAAGTGTAGTATTAAATGAAATAATAGAAGATTCTTCAAAAAAGAAAAAACATAGCCTTTTATTTCAAAGAAGAAAGATATCTGCTCCATCAATTAAACTTAACTCTGTGAACAGTTCAAAGGAAAAATCACTTAAATTATGCACAAAAATAACTGTGAAAAGGAAAGAGCTTGGTCTGTCATTACAGAAATCTACCCAGATTGTTGATACAACAAAACATGATTTTGAAACAGATACATCTAATAAATCTTCCTGTGACGAGCCTTCTAATAAGGTTTGCCCTATATTGAATGAAAACACCAATGCATTCCATATACTAATGTCTTCAGGGATTTGGCAGTCACCACATGGTCAGAGCCCTGATGAAACTGAGGATAAGAATTTGTGCACAAATGCTGATAGGAAGCAAACGACTACTGTTGTTGCAGATACATCAATGGATGCTGCCAAAAGAAAAGAAAATAGACAGAAAAGGAAGAGAATACTGGAACAAATGTCTGAAAGAAGAAGGGGGAAGAGAGCAAACCTTGATGACACATCCTCAGAAATTGAAATAGAAAAGACACCTGTTGTCAGGTCTAAAAGGATTGTATGTGTGTCTGAGTCAGATTCAGATGATACAGACATGACACTTGATAAGGAGTCGGACATTTTGAAAGCCAGATATGGTGATGTGCTAGTTCATAGAGAAGGTGGTATAATGGTTGTGGAAGAGAGTGATGATGAATCTGCAGAAGATAAGAAACAAGATAAAGTTATGGATCAGGACAGTTTGACAAGTAGCAAACTTGATACAAAAACGTCAAAGAAAATGGAGAGGAGTAGAGTCAAGTTGGTTCATGAAAATAATGGGGAACTGTTGGTAGATGTAATGAAAGTTGGTTATTCAGAACCAGAACAAAATTGCTTGCAGCTGAAGAAACTAGTGGTAAAAAAATTGAATAATATTTCTACTAAGCAAGTGATGAAAATATCTGCACCAAAATACCGTGGCAGTTGCAAGAAGGTTCGTAAGGAAAGATGGAAGTTGGCTGTGAATGGAGAAGAAAAAAATTCAGTGGTAACAAAAAAAGAAATAAAGATGCATGGAGTGGTGGGTGATGACAGAATGGTTGATTCCCAGCTTTCTGTATGTGAAGCTAAAATGTCATTACGTAAGTTGCCTAAAACTAGAAAGGAGGTTGTCGTAAGATGTAATAAAAGTGCAGTTAAGAGTTCCTTTCAAAAGGAAGTCAAGCTCATAGCAAAGAAATCTCTTGATCATCAAGAAAATTTTGAATTTTGTAATTATTCAGATCTAAGTGAAAGCTGCATAGTGGAAGATGACAGTGAAGAAGAGGAACACATGCGAACAGGATTTGATAAGGAAGATAAAAGAAACAGATCATTCGCGGTGAGAAATGGAGATTCAGATTGTGAAATGCTGATGAAAGAAAAAAAATATCTACAGGATTCAGACAGTAAATGTGAGACTAAGAAAAGGAACAGTTTGTTCAGTTACTTTAATAAAGTTTGTAAAGATGAAGTTCTCCTCAAGCCTGAAAAAATTCGAGTGAAAGTTCAGATCCATTCTCCCCCTGTGTCACCTTCATTGAAGACAAGATGGAGCAGTACTCTTAAGGACAAACGAGAACGGAGACAGGGGCGCAGCATGCAAAGTAAGGTGCTGGACATGGAAGATCAGATCGTTGTTTTGGAGTCGCATATTGAAAAACCAACAGTTGATAGTAGTGCTGGTTTTGTGATCTCAACCCCAAAGAAGCACAACAAAGTTGGTGATTTGAAAACTCTACCTTCTGGCAGTGGATGGAGGATGCGTGTCAGACTGCGAGAGTTACCTGCTGAAACTGCTTCAGGTAATAATACAGGTATATGGTGGCCCATATGTTTATAAGAAGTGCCCCCGGTCTTAAGAGGTTGATAATCCTACTGTAAAGAATTTTTATTAATACTTTGGTTGATGGCTTTGAATTGTTACCTTATGATTTTCATGGACTGTGTTCATGAAAGTTTTTTTATTATTTTTTATACAGTTACTTTTGTCAGGTGCACCATTCAGGAGAGAACAAGGCAGATAGGATATCAGTTATAATTTGAAAATTGTAATTATACCATGCTGCAGTTTTTCCCATGTATGTGATGAAAAAAAAGATATGTGAAGTGCTGATGATCAAGGTTGAGTTCCTGCCAGTGTTGAATTCCCTTGTCTTCTAGCACAATGCCATTTTTTGCACTTTGATCTCTGAGACTTGGGAAATGTAGTTACCATGGCTGCACAACCACATGTGTGGATATTTAAGAGTTTTCTGAACATTCTCACATTTATATTATTAAAACAAGCGTGGAAGAATGAAAATGGAAGACACATAAAGATGGCAGTATTTGGGGATGCTATGCCATGTAGTCTTTAGAAATTAACCGATGTTTTAGAGGTGCGATGCCCTTACCAGAAACTGAATTCTGACCGTCATACCATACTTAGTTACTGTTTATTGAGCTACCACTGTTGATATTGATAGGCATGTTTTGGGGTCTACATCCAGTCAGAATGAGATGGTTAAGTAGTGACTTGAAGTAAAGAACATTTAATGGGCTGGATGGCTGGGCTTCCGTTTCCAGCAGGTCAGAATTCTACTCTTCAACCCATATTCAGGGCCAATCAAATATCCTGTCCAGTGAATATTCGAGTTCTTTCTTCAGGGGTGAAGTGGCCAGGGTGTGAAGCTTATTACTCAATTCCTAATGCCAAGGTTAAGAATGCATTGGGCTGTATTTTCACTTCACCACATATCTGTGTGGTATGATGCTTAGTTAAACACCAGGTACAACCTAACCTTCATTTTACATTGTATACACTTCTGTTAAATTAGGTGAAGACAGCAGTGATGATTGTATTTTCACACCAAAGAGGAAATGTATAGGCAGCAAAACAACGTTAGACCATCAAGAAACTTCAGAAGTGCTATTGAGCTCTAAAACAATGGTAAACCAAATGAATGCAGAACAAACAAAAGCTCAGGATAATAATGTCAGTGACGAAGTAGCTGAAGGTGAAGCTGATGAAGTCACCATATACTCCAGCCATTATAGCATGTCAGATGGTAAGAATGTTGTTGAATTGAGCATTAACCTAAGTCCTCAAGTATTATATGTGATTTTTTTATTTTTGTCGTATCTACTAATGAAGAATTTAATGTGTGTGTGTGTATAAATTGCATATGTAGTCGTTTTTAAAATTAAGTTTCAGGGAAAATATGTGGACCCAGAAGAGAGAAAATAAATTGGGTGCAGAGAATGTTAATCCTTTGAAATCAAAGCTCATGTACATAATATTTAAGAATTCATTATGTACCTAACTCATCAGTTATGAAGATCAGCTGGCGAATGCTGTTTGAGGAATTATTCCCTGTTTACACTGAAAATCGTAGACTCATAAATACAAAATGCACAGAATTTAAATTAGAATACCAGAATTTAATACACCCCTTCTCCTGCCCCCCATGTTTGGATTTATATGCTGTTGAATGTTTTCAGCTATTGTGAAACTGGCACCACTGTTTGTACGGTCTAAAGCTGTTCCAAAACCTAAAGTTGACCCAGCTGTTGTAGAAGCTCGACAGAACTTCTTG